TCGGGATGGAATCAACTTTCAAGGATGCAGGGAGGGAAACTGGGCGGCCTTCTGCTGCAAAACGCGTGGCACCATCCGGCCCGCTTTCTCGCAAGGGTTACCGGTATGGCCCATGGGTTATGCTGCAGTGGGCGCCGACCCCCCATTGTTACCGTACCGGTCAACGGGTTTTGGCCCAGGGCGATCACTTGATTGACAATACCTGAACGCGATGGAGGAACCATTGCTCGCCCGCCACCCTCTGCCGCTTTGCACCGGATGAGAGGAAGGCGAAGTCTGATGGACGGGGGAGAGAGTGTTTGGGGAAAGTGGAGGACAATCGATGTGGGTGGTACCGGTACCGGTACGGGTCGCGGCCACGGGTGCAGATGACTCCAAGTTGACGTTCTCTTCCATCTCGTGTTGTACGAACTGCATCTACCGGTCTCTACCCCAGACAGTGTAGAGGATGGGGTGCCGCGCTGGCTGAATCCAACGGAGCCGCCACAGCTGGATGAGGTCTTCACTAGAAGTGGAGTTTTGCTTCTCAACCTCCCTGCGGGCCGAACCGCGAAGCCCGCACTAGTTCGTGTTGCGGGTAGGGCAAGTTAATTTCAAATGCCGTGGTGGCTGCTGGCAACACCTCATCGCGTACTGCACAACCATGTCAAAGACTTGTCTTGGATGACGGTTGAGTGCGAGCGAGCAGTCAAGCACTGTTGTTGACCGGTGTGTAGGCTTGTGGTATGCGGATATCGAATTGGCTCGCTTTACTTGCATCTAACTCATTCTTTGGTCGTCGCGCCATGATGATCGCGTGACTGTGCCCCCCCCCCCCCCCGGTAGGTAGAGTACGATGATGTGATCATGTGTTGCTGTAGTCTCCATGTTTCATAACAGCCGATCCTCAACAGAACCAGACAGAGAGACACCCATTTAATGAACACCCATCAAATCTGGCAGCTCTATCAAGCGCGTCTGCACTTCCGTGCACATTTCCAGAAATTCCCTCTTCTCTGCTTCTGTACGAAACTCAATCCTGGCACCTGAAATCATCTTTCCCTTCTCCATCTTCTTCGCCTCATCTTCCTTGTCTGTGACCCTATCCGTTGCATCTCCATGACCACTGCTCGCAACGAAGCTATCTTTCCGCATGGCCTTGTCGCCCTTGTCAATCGGCACCCGTAGTCCCTTGATTTTGACTTCACGCCCGCCGAGATCCTTCACCTTGATCGGGTGAATTGAGGAATTGATGTAAAAGGCGAGATATCCGCTGCGGAAGCTTGCTGAGAAATGGATAAGCGCAATCTTGGCACCACTGTCGCTGTCTTCCCAGACGCGTAGGTTCTCCAGTGCGCACATTTGCTGCGCGTAGTTGAAAGTTGCCCCAATACCTGCGTGAATGCGCATCGTCTTCTCAGTACGGAACGTCGCTAGGAGTGTGCGACCCATGAGTTCGTTTTGGAAAAGCGCTGCGGCTGCATGTCTGTTAGCTATGATGACAGCTGGCTAGGTAGCGGAACCGACTGCTTACCATCGGGAGATGCAAAGACGTAGTTGACCCAACTCGACTTTGCAATCCTGACAGGCCTATCACCAAATCTGACACTGTGAAATTTCAGCTCGCAGGATACGGTGATGGAAACCTTGCTAAGCGAGAAGTAGCTGGAGTATGGGATGTACATCTGATCCTCAGCCATACGAAGCTCCATTCGTACAGCACCGTCATCACTCAATGTCCAGACCGAGGTAGCAACATGGACTCTTCTCGTCTCTGGATCTGTAATCCGTTTGCGTACAACAGCAATGCGGCACTCTTCGGAAGCTGTCACCATCTCGACATCATTCCTGTCCTCTTCATCGAGTTGTTGTGAGTATTCAACGAGGCTTCCACGGCTAGCAATACGTGGTCAGCCCATGCAAGGTCTCCAAGGGGGTCCTCCTTTGGCTTACACGTCGCACAAGATTGCAGAATTTCGAAAAGCCTCCTTCTCAAAAGCCGTTTTTTGGCTTGTGGTAGTCGAACTACGATGAAGCTGCATGACATTCACTCGTGGACTTGGGCAGACACGCGGTCCACTACGTGAGCCATTCCATATATGTCTTTCCCATTCATGAGGCGCAGAGAGACCTAAGGCAGGAGGTGGTAGTATTGACCTAGGCCTATCCTCGATCGGCTGACCTGGCTCCTGCACCTCAGATGTCCTTGGTAGTGGAGTGGGTCTCTTGGACGAGATGGGAACATGGTGGCTATCAAATGTATCTTTGGGGGTGCTGGGGCTCGACCATCCGACTGCATTCACCCCAACATCTGAAGACGCGTAGCTACTACTTGAATAACGAAGAGAGGCTGCACTGAAACTAAATTCCGAAACTCGTTTTCGGCTAGGAGATGATGCTCTTGAGGATGATGCAGGGGCGATGAGCGTGCCCAAGGGTTTCGGAGCTTCCACGATAGATGATCTCGCAGGGTTCTTTGGAGGGACCGGCGGCGCTTGCATGATCGGCTCGATGATGGCGAGAGTTTGCATGAGGTCTTGAATTTCACCAAGGTGTTCGGGAGTACACCGAGACGATTGATTCAGACTACTCCTTTTGTCTGTCCTGAGGTCTATGGCACTTTGTAGTTGCTCGAGCGACTTACTACTCGACATTAGTTGAATCTTCTGCACTGTGAAGCACCGTCTACCTTTGTATCGCTTGTGTGGTCAGAGCAATAGAGCTTATATGCAACTGTAGCAGTTGTTTAAGATTTTGCAGGTTGCCACCTTTTCTTGTCCATGGCATGGTTTTGTATTCTGTCAGAATCACATTACTCCACGTTCTTTCGATTGCGAATCCGCCCACAGTCCGATGCTTCTTGATGACTTGGTACTGGTCGATCAGGCGATCCAAGTCGCCTATCGTTTGTTGGCAGGACCACACGACCATACCGACGGTATTTTGTATCCTCTCTCCAGCGGCTTGTAATGCATCAGAACCTGTATTCGCATGCAGAGCCTCTGCAAGTAAAGTCAATGCCCGAGCAAGGCCGCCCAACTCCAGCTCAATGTCCTGAAAGTCGGCAGGGGCCTCCTTGCGGCCAGCAGCAAACGCTCTTTCGATCCTCCATGCAGATTGAGAAGACACGAGAATGTCCCCAACATCGGGGACAGTCATTGTAGCAAGCGACAATGGGGCATCTGACTGAGACGTGCTCAAACTATGTCGGTGTCTGTGCTAGGGTATGCAGAAGTATTCGATGGCGACAAATCTACAGCGTCCAGCTCGAAAGGGCTTGGATTGTGTGAAAGGAAGACATGGCATGAGCCGCGATATACGGTACAGAGATGGTCTACCAAGCGTGGGGCCAAGGCAAGTCATAGGGCCTGTCACAGAGGCTACAGGGGACCCGGTGCCAAGGGGCTGGTTACAAGAACCCATACTGATGGTGTGCAGACCAGAGGAGGGAGGGGGAAGACACCTGGAACTCGGCTCATAGCATAGACCGTGGGGTTGGCGGTTGAGGAGTCTCAAGCAATCATCAATGCTCGAGTAGTCGATCGAACCAGGGTGGCACGTGGGCGCCCTAGCGCTGCATCATTGGTACATGAAAACATATGCCCCCCCCCCCCCCCCCGGGCCTGTCACTCGGTGCCTTACCGAGATTTCAATGGCTCACAACATTGCGACGCGGCCGAGTTGGAGTCTAGGTAAGATTGATCGCCGTCTGAATACTTTGTATTCCACTAACGTAACATGGACGCGGCGAGGAACGTCCGTGGACGGCAAGCGGCGGGGCCACCTAGACAGACATGTGTGTGTCTGCCGTGCTGCGAGCCATGCTGCTTCAGGGACTGGATGGATAGGTTCAAACGCTTTGTTTTACATTATGGACATTGCGCCCTGTGCAGTATCACCGATTGCTAATTACCATCTGATTTTGCAGTGGAGAATCCTAATCGTAACACCCTGCCGTCTACAGACAGTACCTCAACCTCATCAGACTCGAAATAGCCCGAAAGAATGCTTGCGCCTGAAATGTGCCATATTTTACAAAAGAATCATTCATACTCGTTCACGCTCGTCTGGTATGCGCATGCACATTATGCAAGTGGGGAGAAGAGTCTGCCGTGGTTAGCAGAGACGGTGCAATGCGAGTGGATTCGCCTTACCGGATGAGCGATGGCTTGGGCTGGCTTTGCGAGTATCCAAGATAGACAATGAGAGGCAGGTAGCCGTAGTGGATAGCGACGCGGGAGACATCGATGATGCGGGCAATGCGCTCCTGGAGACTGTGTTAGAAGGCAGTGTGTGAGTGGGCTGTGTGCAACTTCTTAGACGCACCTTGGACTCCTCTGATAATTGGTACATGCTGGCTTCTGTGTGCTGGATGGATGCGGGGGAGAGTGGGAAAAGTCGTCGGCGCGGCGAGAGGGTCGTGGGGGAGTCGCAAGGTGACGTTTTGGTCCTTGGAGTCGCTTTCTTTCGCGATCCGAGCAAAAGGCTGATGAATGGATCCAAGGCCGAAGTGTTGCCGTGGCCTAGTTGAGTCTAGCGCGTCATCATAGCTCCAAAACTTCGTTGATGCGCCCAGGTCCCCCGAGCTTCAACGGTTCGCCCGACTGATCAATCGTCTGCACACTTCCAAAACAGTCGGTATTGAGACTCTGTACCATAAGTGTGCCCATAGGCAGAGTATTCATAGCAAAGTCTTTGTCGGGAGAATATTGCAATGTCCGCCCCCAGCGCTCGTCATTGGTCAGTCAATATCCACTCGTGCCAAACCAGCAACAACATGTGTACATATTGACAGCAGCCCCCAGGGAACAGAACAAGGAAGCCACGGTCTATTGCGGTAACCTCCATGAGCGCGTCACGCCCCGCATTCTCCATGAGCTGATGCTCAACGCTGGCCGCGTGCGTAATGTCAACATGCCCGTCGATCGTGTCAACGGCCAGCATCAAGGCTTCGGCTTCGTCGAATACCATACCGAGGAAGAGGCCGACTATGCGCCCAAGATCATGAACAACATCGCTCTCTATGGCACCCGCATACGCGTTAACAAGGCATCCGCGGACAAGCAACGGAATGTCGAAATCGGCGCCGAGCTGTTCATCGGTAACCTCGACGCCATGGTGGACGAGAAGACGCTCTACGATACTTTTGGTCAATTCGGGCCTCTGGTCAACGCCCCCAAGATTGCGCGCGACGAGGCGAACTTGTCCAAGGGCTATGGATTCATCTCCTATGGCGACTTCGAGTCATCAGATGCGGCCATCGCCAGCATGCATGGCCAATACATCATGAACAAGCAGATCTCCGTACAGTACGCGTACAAAAAGGACGGAAAGGGCGAGCGACACGGAGACGAAGCAGAACGCATGCTTGCAAAACAGGCCAAGGCTCATGGCGTCGCGCCCGCTGTACAACCCCTTCCCGCACATCTGTTCCAACTGCCTCCTGGGAGTGGGGTACCAAGTGGGCCAAGCATGGGCGCAGACAACCGAGTTGCACCTGTCGTGCCCAGTGGTCCTGCGGGCTTTGGACCTTCCAACGGCGCTCATGGTTACGGTGCTCCTGCAGGCCCACCTGGCTATGGTGCGCCAAACGGTTCTTACGGAAGGCCACCAGCTGGGCCTCCTGGAGGGCCACCGTCGCTACCACCCGCTCCAAATGGCTTACCAGCTCGTCCACCAAGCGGGCCTCCCTCCAACTTTTACCCCCCTCCACCTGGGTTCAATGCCGCTCCACCTAATGGCCCCCCAGGCTTCAACCCTTCTTACGGTGCTCCACCGAGTTACGCACCTCCAGGGTTCCCGCCACAACGCTGAAACGTCCTTGCCGAAAAGTACATAACACGCACCCGAATCATTCACAGCGATGCGTCTGGAACGCACTTCCCTCGTGCCGTTACAGGACCTTTCTACCAGGGACCGGTCACGCACGGAATGGGGATCAAAAGGCCAAGTCACGATGAATCATGTTTGCCATCGCCTGAATCACAAAGATTCTGAGAACAGCAAACGCTCTTACTTGCTTCGAACGTCAGATACCAAGACGATGACGCGAAAAGATATCGTAGTCGTGAAAGGCATGGTGCCAGGAATGGATTATTGCCTAAGAATGTGCCATGAGCCGCATGATAGAATAGAAGTAGTGGAACATAGGAAACACTAACGCTGAGGATCGCTGCCATGCAATCAGTCTTTCAGCAAAGTTAAATGTCAAAAATCATGCCCAACGCGCTTTCAAGCCCCTCACCGTCCCCCCACGACTGTCCTGATGAGATGAACGCGATAACTCCGCTACCCAATCTCCTTGAAGTCCGACAAATGAAACGAAAGAGACGAACAATAGCGAGCGCAAGACAATGACAATCAAGAAAAGCTAACAAATTTAGGGTCCCGAGGGACTCCGTCTGCACCAATATTATTCTTCTTGAACCGGTCTTGCATGTAGATTCTCCGTGCTTCATCAAAGTCTACGCCTTTCCTCTTCATGATGCGCTTGACTTGCTTCTTCCCCGCATCGTCCAGACCCTGTCGCGAATCCCCCTCCTCCACGTTGCTGCTGAGATCGAAGGCGGATGAAGATAGCCCGGCTTCAAGGTCGTCGCGGAACGATGTGGGAAGGCGTGCGTAGATGGGTTCGGGGATAGGGAGGAGATGTAGCCAGTGGTGCCGAGTGACGTAGCCCACTGGAGCAGATCAGTACATGGGGATACAAGGACGAGAAGAACAAACGTACCAGTCGCAAGCACCAGAACAAAGAGGAAGGCGGTATACAGCATGTACGCCATGTTGGCGATGTGTATGAAGTTTACGTTTCAGAAGAACGGTGACATGTGTTTGCGACAAGCCCAGAACCTTGAAAGTGCCTCAATAGCGCAACCGAGGCGCAGTGATGATGAAGAGATGGACTCGGAGAAAAGATGACACAAGGAAAAAGAGATGGAGTACAGGCTGCAGTCGCAGCGCGTGGGTCTGACGACGCTCAATATGGAGGAACACGGATGCCGGATAGGCGGAAGAGGTGGGATGTCTGAAGTGTCACGATGGCTGCTGGGCGCTGCGGACAAGTCGTCTCGGGTCGGCAGCACCGCCACATGTCTCGGGGCTGGGTCGCCATGGACAGGGGTGCTGGCAGGGCTTGTGCTGGAACGAGCCCAAGCGTCGGTGCCGTTGTTGATCCATCCCCGACGCACACTAGGCGTAATTCGGTAATTCAGACGAGCCACCTGCCCGCCCGCCGTTCAATATTGGGAACTTTGAAGACCAGCAACGATCCCAAGCCCGTATTCACAACCCCCCAAATACACACAATGGCCACCACTATCTCGCACGATCTCGCCTGGGAGGTTACCAGTGAGTGCACCTGGGAAAATCAAGAGGAGTTTGCAGGATGGGGGCTGATAACATGAACTAGAGGGACACAGCGCTACGCTTGTCAAGAGGGCGAATGGTGTGCAGTTCTCGCGCGATCCTCTGAACCTGAGGAACATCTACAGCCGCAAGGTACGTGAATGCAAGACTTGGAGCAAGAAATGGGCAGCTGCTAACTCTTGCGCAGAATGAGGGCCAGATCGCCAACAAGGTACGAGGACCATGATCAATCTCGAATGCGGCAGTTTCGAGTGCACAGTAGTAAAGAGAATCTGGAGTTGACAACGTGGAACAGGCCATCGGTGTCATTCCCGGTAAGGAGGGCGGCGTCACCCTCCTGGTCAAGAAGGCCGACAAGCACCACCAGCCCGCCACCTCGATCCAGACCGTCACCTTCGGTCCCCAGCGATCCACCCGCAAGTACGTCCACCTCGACATGGCATCTCAATAGGCGCTTTGGGCGAAGAGCAAGGGAATTGTGTCAGAAGAATGCGCTAACCCAATTCCCAGGACCTACTCCGCCATTGTCAACTCCACCACCAAGCGCAACTACCGCCCCGACCTCCGCAAGGACGCCGTCGCCCGCGCCTCGGCCATCCGCAAGAGCCAGAAGCCCGTCAAGGCGGACAACAAGCCAACGAAGCTGCGAGGAGCCAAGGCCAAGGCCGCAGCCCAGAAGGAAGAGGCATAGAGACTGAAATGCGGAAATCGTGGCTAGGCAAAAAGGAGGAGTTTACTTCATTCTGGTTCATTTGGGGTCACGGAGCTCATGGTCCCATGGTTTGCGCGAGGTCAGGCCGTGTGGATTGATTGCATATGATCAATGCCAGGTCCTTTGTTCCATCCATAGAATGGGGGTCGGGGACTAGGCGAAACAATGAAATGCTTCGAAAACTCAATCCTGCTTGTCCAGTGTTGCTCTTTCTCGTCCAACACCCGGAATTCGGCTGTGAGGCTGTGACTTTACTGTACACTTTTCATCGTTTCTTAGCCTGTAATTACACTCCTGCCAATGTCAATGTCAATGTGAATGTCCATGTCCATGTCCATCCCAATCCCAATCCCAATCTCAATGCATCCGTATACCACCATAGCAATCCACACCCACACCCACACCCACACCACCTCAACACACCAACCCACCACCCTTTGCTTATTCGCTATTCGCTACATCTCCCGTTTGTACATGGCATAGGACATGGGACATGGGACATGGGACATGGCACTTAATAGCAACGGTAACATATAGGTGCATGGAATTTGGGATTGTGCGATATAGGGATGTATGATGCGGGATGTGGGATACAAAAAAGCATGACATCAATCCAGCGCGGCGAACACTTCAAACAGCAGGGCTTCTGGTAGAAGCCTACCAGTCAAATCAACCCGTCATCACATGCAAACCGGCAAAAAAAAAAAAAAAAAAAAGTTCGGGTCCGATGATTTGAAATTTGTCCCTCGCCTCGACATCCTTCGAGTAGGAAAGCAGACTTTCTCATGATAATTCCGGCTGATCCAAGGACAAATGGCCGATTGCTTTCCCTGCCCGACATGCGAGTGCGCATCATCACTACTACCACCAACCACCAGCACTACGACGTTCTCGATCTACAATCTCCAATCCACACCCCCAAGCCACGCCCGAGCATTTCGATTCAAAGAAAAAAAAGAAACCCCCGTCATTCGCAAGCTTACCTTGGACAAAGCCCCCGCCCCCCCAAAAAAACGGCCAAGAGGGCCTTGAGATGCATCCAGGTCCGCAGCCAAGCCTTCTTGCATGCTTGCGGGCAGAAAAAAAAGCGCCAGAAAAAAACCAAAAAAGGGTGTGAGGTTGTGGTGTATGTGTGTATGTGTGCGAGTAAGAGAAAAGCCGAGTGGATCCGTAAGATTTACATGAAAGGGGGTATCAAACAAGTTCAGAGGGGTAGGGACGGTCAGCTTTGTAAAAAAGGTCATGGGTTGGATGGGATAAAATCCGCCATGAGCCTGCACCATCACCCGAAGCTGACTAGTGACTGCCATTCTTGCGGAAGTTGAGCAGCTGGGCTAGACTGTTGAGGCTGCATCCGCTCTTGAGGAAATCGTGGCTCATCAGTTCCGACGCGCTCGCTCGGGACTTGACATCGACGCAAAGGCATACGGACAAGAAGGCCTTGAGCTCTTTCGAAAGCTTGTCTGGCTTCTTCAGGCGAGGGGTGCCGTTGGTGGCGATGAGGTACAAAGCTTTGAGCGGCTCTTCGTTTAGGTAAGGCGGTTCGGACTCAATCATCTCAATGGCCATGATTCCCAGAGACCAAATGTCCACCTTGTTTCCGTACTCCTTCTGCTTGACAACTTCGGGGGCCATCCAGTAGGGTGTGCCGACCATGGTCGCACGTTTGCTGCGCTGCTCTGTGAGTTTCGCACAGAAACCGAAATCGGCTGAGACTTGTTAGCAAAAAGTCCGACGACAAAGAAGAGGATATGGCATACTGATCTTGACATTACCACGGCCGTCGAGTAAGACATTGTCACTCTTGATGTCGCGATGGATAATGTTTTGGTTGTGGAGATGCTCCAATCCTTTGCAGGTCTGCAAAGAGTTAGTAGATGATCAGTTCACTGTGGAGTGGAACATACCTCGAAGCAGATGGTGGCAATCTGGTCCTCGCTAATAGACGAATTATTGTCAATGACATCAGTCAAAGCACCTCCCTCCATAAACTCCATAACCACCCAGAGTTCCGAATGCTCTTCTTGCAAGAAGGCGTCCAAGAAGTTGACAATGTTGGGATGCTTGCTGTCCTTCATGACAATAATCTCGTTGACAATGAGCTCCTTGCGCGGCTGGTTGCGAAGATCCATTTGCTTGATGGCAACCTGTGCGCGAGGCCCATTCTCCTGCATGACCCTACGTGCTGTTGGCGAGGTAGCATTTTCGCGAATACGAGCAACATAGACTGATCCACTAGCACCTTGGCCAATCTTCTTTTGCTTGTTGTACGAATCCAGCGGGCGTTCCTTGGAAACGACCTCTCGGAGCTTGGCCATGACCTCACTCTCAGACATGCTGGACATGCGAACATCCTTGCGCGGTGTTTCCTCCTTTGGCTTGCTGGTCAGCGCCTGCTCCGCTTTCTTTACTGCGTCGCTAGTTGCAGAGGGCTTGGCAACGTTCAAAGGCTTTGGTGCAGCAGAAGAGCCCTGATACTGCTTCTGCTGAGTTTGGCCATTGGCAGGGCGAGATTGCGGATTCTGAGTGCCAGAGCCCTTGGTATAACTGTTGCTAGTCTGAAGGGGTGGGCGCTGCTGTTGAGCTGCAGGAGTCTTTGCCGAAGGCGAGGTGCTATTCTGCTGTTGCGGGGCTGAAGGTGCAGGCCGCTGCGCAGCCATTTGACGCAACGAGCCTGGAGGTTGTTGGCCCGATTGCTGATTCCTAGTAGAACCGGGGGTAGAGGGTGCAGGACGACTGGGGTTGTAACGTTGCTGGTTGGAGGGGCTTGGATCGCGAGAATCGTAGCCACCGCCTCCAATCTCCTGCTGGGCAAGGGGAACCTTCTTCTGAGGTAACGAGGCGTTGTATGCCGCCAACTCCTCACGCTGCTGCCGCTCGTACTCTTGACGTTGTCTCTCACGTTCACGCTCGCGCTGCATCCGCTGCTCCTCCTGCTTTCGCCGCTCTTGATCGTATCGGTCTTGTTGAGAAGCTCCATTCTGAGAGTTCGACTGGCCAGCCCCCGGCGGAGTGTTCTGGCGACTATAGCTGTCCTTGCGCTGATAGTTCTCGGGGGGTGCTGGTCGTGGGGGGGCAACAGAGTTGCCACTGCCACCATAACCAAGCTGCTTCTCCGTGCCCGCGGTCGCTGGTGGGGTGGGCGTCAGACTGGTGTACTGTTGCGGATCTTCAGAGCGCTTGACGAGCTTCTCCGTGTAGAACTCGAGCACTTCCAAAACCGCTTTGGGGTTCTTTGCGTAATCGTCCTTGGTGAGGGCAGAGGCTGTGAGTAACTTTTCCCACTCCACGGGCAGGCCGACGAAAGCTCCGCTGTTGGGATCGAAGCCGACATGGACCCTGTGGGTAAAGTTGGTGGGGTTGCTGACGCCGCCCATGCTAGGACAGCGCTGGTAGATGCTGTCTATCCACGAGTAGACATCATCGTCTGTCTCGACCTTGCATGTGATGACCTTGGTCGGACCGTCGCGGGGCGGTGACGAGCCCTTGTTGGAGTTGAGTGCTCTTGTAATCTCAAAGGAAAGGGCCTGGGTGTCGGATCGCTCGACGCCCAGGATGTCGCGCAGGGGAATGGTGTTGGAGACTTTGGAGGCATTTGCGCTCTTGAAGAAGTTGAGCTCGAACTCGCGCAGCACCAGCCAGCGATCAGCCCAGACCAGCGACTTGAAGAGGCCCTCGTCCTTGACCTTGACCATGCCCTCCTTGACCACCGCCGTCGAAGACACGCTCTTCTCCGACTGCGTGCGGACGAGCGACATTTGCGAGGTGTTGCCAAAGGCGGGCGACTGGAGGCTGAGGCCGGCCAGGTTGCCTGGCAGCGTGTTGCTCGTGTTGGGTGTGAGGGCGAGGCGTGGACGGTCGGTGGGCGGTCGTGGGGCGGGGCCGGGGTTCATGAACTGGTCGCGTGAATACATTCTGACGTGGTCGTGTTAGTGGCCAGGTGGTTGCCAGGTGCCAGGTGGCCAGGTGCCGATCTTTGAGTTTT